CAAAAGTGAGGAGTGGAGGGAGGACACATGAAACATAGAAGATGGGTGAAACCTTCAGTCTGGCAGAGTAGACCTTGATGTCACACATTCCTGTATCCTCTCCCATGTTGCCCCTTTCCCTCCTGCCACCCAGAGGAGGAGGTGATGGCAGATGCAGGAATGAGCAGCAGTGACTCAGAAAGCACCACCCACCACCCCTGTATTTTAAAGAAGCCCCAAACATGCCATCACTGTGTTACAGCGAGTCTGGATCAGCCCTGCAAAGGCCACAGCCCTCACTTTGTGTGCAGGAGACTGAAATGTCCTCTATTCAACCTCCTCCTCCACCCCACAAACTTCATGTGACCTCGCAGCCCCTCTGCCACTTATTTAAGATCAGGTTCTGTCCAAAGAGGGATATAGAGGCCCCTTCCTTGCTCCTCTTCCAAGCAGTTCCCCCCCCACCTCTGCAGTCAGGGACTCCCTCTGCTTTTCGTGGAGGCCAAGTGAAATACAGTTCTTGGATGTGGGGCCGCACAACTGACCAGGCAGTTGGCACATCCTCATGGAGGACCTGCCAGAAAGACTTCATTTCTTGTTAGGATCTTGGAAAACAAATCCCCTCTGGGTTTCCATCTCAGATATGATACTGTCTGCCCATGTTTATGCTGGCTGGAAATGGGAGGGGGCCCCGTGTGACCTGAGCTGGGTGGGACTTCAGGAGAGCTGGGGTACAGGCAGTCCTCCAGCACCCCTCCAACACCTGTGGGAGACCCAAACCCTCACTGTGCTCAGTTTTGCTTGACACATATGGCATGAAAGGCTCTGAAGCAATAACTCATGCTTGCAGCTGCTGCAGGGGAGACCTCAGACTTTCCACTAAGCTTGGTGTGAGAGCTCCCTGCAGCACCAGGCCACAGCAGGGAAAGAGAAAAATTAAAAGCTCTCCACAGGATAACAACTCTAGTGGCTTGTGGTCTTAATTCCTTCCTTTGCAAAACAAACAGCACATGGTGTGATTAAGGGAGCTTTCTGGGATACACATATTTGGATTCTTTCTTCCCTCCCTTGCCAAGACCATGAAAAGCCCTGCAAAAGCTCTCTCATATGTCATCAGCAACATCTTTTACCTAATTCTCCATTTCATGTCTTGCAGGCCAACAACTGCAATGTCATAACTGCACCGTGTAGAGCTAGGACACCAGGTAGGGTTCAGTCTAGCAGCTCAGAAAGCAACTCAACCACCCAAGAACAAGCCTTTATGCCATTGTGGAAGCCAAAGCTGAGAATGAATGAAGTCATTAGAGAAGATTGCTTTTCAAAGATTCAGATTTTGAGCCAGCACATCCTTGGGCTACCTCACACAGCACTAGATTTTTGTAACAAAACAACTTCTCTGCTTGAATGTCAGTGAGATCCCTTTGGACCAGCAGTGACTTAGCTTTTGTTTGGTGCTTCTTCAAGCAGATAGCAGGTTATGATGCCATTTACCTGGCTTGCAGGAAGGCTGGAGCTTCATCTCAAACTCTGAATCACTGAGTGACTTTACATAAAGAAAGTAAACCATTAGCATTTTTCTTAATTCTATGCTCTGGTTTTCTTTCTCATAATTGTTGTAGGTGTGGAGAAAGGGAAAAGATCTCTACACAGGCTCTCAGCTTTGCTCTGAGGCCTTCTGTGTCACTTCATGAAGCTCCAGCAAGTATCTTCTCATAGGTTAACAGCAGACATAAGTAGGAGGGGGACCCATGAAGAGCTCTGCCATCGCCCTGCAGCACTGCATGACCACGGGCAAGTCACCTCCCTCCCTTGCTTCCCTTCCAATATTTATCCTAATTGTTTACCCAGGTTGGGCCCTATTCATCCCGCTGCATCGACGCTTCACCAAGCACCTTGCCTCAGCAAAACCGGGTGTGCTTCTCATTAGCATACACTAAGTATTTGCTTTTAGATACAGGGCTTTTGGTCAACAGTTACAGTTGCATCTATTTGGTTATAGCTTTGAAAATCTGAGTACGCTTGCCATTTCCCACGAATGTTAAATTCAGTAAGGCTGCCCTCTTGAAATCACTGGTAAAATAAAATATAATGACTTGAAGATCCTGCAGATAATTGGGCAGCTGTGCTGCGTGCCATTGCTTGCTAGTTGCCCATTCCAGAGGAAAGCTGTGCTCTGGCAGGGCTGAAGTGTGCAGTTTGGCATCTGCACTCAGAGGTAGAGGGACGAATGCTACCGAGGCTGCTGACATCCATAACCTCTGCCTGCAGGTCTGGGCAGAAGCAAGAGGTGAGTTCATGCTTGAGGAGACTGACCTGTCCCAAGAGTGATGATATTTGAGGAGCAGAGTCCACTGTCCTCCTCCAAAGCCACCAAAATGAGGAAGAGCTTCACTCAGTATCAACTAAACTTTTCCAGAGTCACAGATGTGGGGTAAGGGCAGTAGGCAGAAAGGAGAGGCCTCGTTCACAAGAATGAATAAAGGCAAGACAGACATGCCATCTGCAGCATTTTCATGCACACACTGTCCTAGACCTGGCAGCCATGCACACTCCTTAATTTAAAGGCCTTGCAAATGAGCAGAGAAAAAAGGGACAGGAGTATTTACAAAAACAAAACAAAAAAAAAAAAGGTGGGATATAATGAACAAGCTAGGGGTAGAAATGTGCTAGTGGGGCCAGAAATATCTTAAGCTGACTTAGCTGCAAGAAGCCAATACACTTTGAAGCCACATTCACAAATGTTAAGTGCAACATTTTGGAGGTTGTAATGTGAATTTCTTAACAGCTCATGAAGCAGCAATGTAGGACAAGATATGAAGAATAGTTTGTCCCTAATTTCCCAGATGAAATTATGGCAGCATTCAACTTCTAGACATCCCAGTCACAAATGCAAACAAAACCAGTTACAGTTGTGTCTCTCCCCAGCAGAGGAGATGCATAGCTGGTGTAACGCAGTGCAAGCTTTCCCATGCTCATACAGCAGCAACAGGGAGATGGCAGTTTGCCAGGCCCTAAGCAGGTCACTACGGCATGATGCTCATGTCACCCTGTCATGCTGCATTTTCTCCAAAAGCTGTCCCAACTTTGTAAACAGAACAGGCACAGACTGGACACTGCTTAACACTACATCTGCTGTGTGCCCCAAAATCCCAGCCCAACCTCTCCTTTCTGTGGAGACAGCACCATGGCCCCAAAGGGTAAGAACAGTGCAACCATGGGACTTACCCTGCTGTCATGCCCGGACAGAACCGTGGGGTCCACTAACACCCTGAGGGCTCAAGGGCACTCTTGGGCCTTCCCTTGGGCATGTTTATTACCTAAACTTTGTCCTCTGTTGGTTCCTGGCCTATTTAATGCTACTGTGGCTCACATGATAGGAAGGTGAATTGCTATGTGCAATGAAGTTATATTTGCATTGATATCCTCATCATAAAGTCTGGAAGACTTGCAAGAAGACTTAAAGCTGATCGCACAGATTATCTCATTGCTTCAGGCTGAGGTGTAGAACTCTAGCACCTTAAAAATGTGAAGTCTACTAGTGGTATTTCATTACCTAAAACAAAACTCCTTTTTGAGCACAAAGTAGGATGTTTTCAAAGCTCCTCAAAAGACTGATTAGAGACTGCACTCTATTCATACACACTTAAAAGGAGAGATGACTAAATGTGGTAAGGAGTGAAATGTGTCACTCACTTTCCCTCTTCTCTTTAACAGCTCCATCCAAAGACTTTTTTGCACCCATGAAGTGTTAGGCTGGTTTGCCTATGTACACCTAAAGAACATGGTCTGGAGTGGAACAACACCTCTATTTTCAGTCACAACATTTATTCTGCATACATATATTTGCACCAAGTCATGAAAGAAAAAAAAAAAGCCAAAAACTTGTGGTGGTTTTGCACTCTTTTCTGTTCAGAGATGAGCAAGAGAAAGGTGTTTCTCTTGAGAGAAAGGCAGGAAGGGGTTAAGCATCTCTAAAACTAGCTGGGCACAACTGATGTCAGATATCTGTTTTACAACGGCATCTATTTGCTTTCCCAGCAAGCAGTATATGGATCACTGGGCACTGCATTGTTCCAAGGATAGTGGAAGATGCCACATATCTTAGGAGAGGATAGATTTTCTCACTCCTCCTTATTAGGTAGAAGTTCTTGTTTGTTAAATAACTCCAGAGTAGAATCCAATCAGAAACTCCAGAAAAAAATTGTTTTTAATTTTTTTCATTTAACTGTTGTTTCCTGCGTGTCTGTCTCTGATGAAATTAGCCCAGCTGTACTCTGTGCAGCTTCCTTGTGTCACTGTAATCATGTAATCATGTGTTCTCCACTTAAAAGCAAATCAGCATCATGAAAACTATAACTGTGCTCTCAATTTTCTGAAAGCCCCTCCTGGGCATTCAGAAAAACTGCAGGGGAGCAAAAGCAAAAATCCTTAATGTTTTTCTATTTGGGTATTTCAGATTATTACAGATATGATGACTTAGCGCAAAGTTAAGACAGGGACCTGTGAAAAGAAAGTCTACTAAGTTTAAACAGAAATGTAATGCTGAACTTCCCAAAACAGACCTACTGACTGGGACTCAGTTCTTCTTGTAGGCACACTGAGTTTACACACATTTTTATCAACTGAAAAGTCCCTGAGCAGGCTCTGTATTCATTTTCCATGCATTTCCCACTTATTTTTATGTTCTATATATATGCAGTAGCCCCCACCAGTGCTCCCACCAGGAAACTCCAGCTGGCCGTGCTGCTGCAGTGGCAGCAGATAGGGACCCAGCAACACCGTGGATTAGCAGAGAGGAACTTCAAAAATCAGCTCCAAGCGGCATTTCCAAGTTTGGGGCAGGTTTCAGAAAAGCAATACTGGGCTGTAATGCCACAGTGCTTTTAATCTCCCAGCTAAAAGCACGACTTGTGGCGTTTTTACATCTTTGGAGGAAAAAGTCACAGGGAGCTGCCCTCCACTTCGGCACAGGGAGCTGGCAGCTCCGAGGAGCATCACAGCACAGAAATCCAAGCACTCACCCGTCATCAGCGTGTAGTAATTTGGGTAGGAGAGGCTGGGGAAGTCTGGGGTCATGTAATCCACCTTCACCCCCATGTTCACAATGTCCCGAAAGCCCGGCAGACCCTCCAGCTCGCTGTCATCGATGTAGTCGAAGCGAAAGCCGTCGAGCAAGAATACCAGGAGCTTGCGGTGGGCCGAGGGGGCGGCGGGAAGCGGCAGGAGCGGCGGGAAGCGGCAGGAGGGCGGCGAGGGCAGGAGCGCGAGGAGGCTGTGGCTCCCCATGGCAGGCAGCGGAGAGGGATCTGCGGCAGCTCCGGGGCTGGACCTGGCACTGCTGTCCCTGTCCCGCTTCCAGCGCCCGTGTTAAAGCTACAGCGCTGCCCCGCGCCGCGGGCGTGGGAGGTCACAGAGTAATTGCAAGCAGATGATTAACCTCGAGCTGAGCGAAGAGCTCGATACTTCCCAGCTGCAGGAAAAAATGCTTCGCAAGGAGGGGGAAAACACAGGCACAAAAGTAACTGGAGGCTCTCGGGACACTGGGCTGACACACCCGAGGAAGGCGAGCGAGGGCACATTGCCCGTGACCCTGGCGAGGAGGGGCCGCGGCGCCCGGCCACCCTGCCAGCGCTGCCGGCACAGAGTGGAGTCCGCTCCACGGACACACAGCTCCGCTTCGGGGCTGCGGCTTGCGGAGGTCTCACAGAGAGGGGATGCTTTCTTTAAAAGAGAGCGTTACTTCTCCAGAAACGTGAACGTGCGCACGCTTCTCCTATCTCCGGCAGTGGCTTGGGGTAGAAAGGCTGAGATTAAGACAAAACATCTCTCCAGTTGGGAAGTGCCGTATATGAGTTGAGGTCCAGTGTTTCAATGGCATGGCGGTACCGCAGAGCACCAGCTGAGCAAGCTCACCTCTACAAGGACGCGAGTCCCTGCGAAGGACCCTGTCCTCTCTGCTTCCTCTGTGCTGCACTGGGACTATTCCAGCTCCCGATGCACTAGTAGAAAAATGATGCATTTCTGGTTGTTGATATTATTTAGATATTAAATGCTGGATGGTGCCCAATTTCATATTAAAAATGAAAACCTGTTCGCATTTTAGTCACAAGTCACTGTGAGGTTCTTCTCCTTCACAGGAACCTGACTATACCTCTAATGCAATGCCAACACCTGTTGTACGCCATAATTGCATATTAACTCACTAATGGATTTTGTTTTTCCCAAATAAAAGAATTTCATAGTATTCATAATGTTGTCTCACAGACTGTGGGAAATGCCCTTTGCAGATGTTTACACCTGGGGAAGGTTGCGATAGCTGGTCACCACCCCATTGTGGATGTCTGAACTTCTGTTTGCTCCTTCTAAAGCTCCCAGTTGCACATCCAGCATGTCCAGTTGCCTCTTACCAAACACCAGGCTGATGCAATCTCAGCAAGATGGCTTTCAGCCCCCTTTGCCCCAAACACTTACTCACCCCTGTGCAAACCCCCTCCTGTCCTGGCTTGCCTTTTGTACTATGCACTAGTGCCCATGAGCCAAAGCTGCTGCCTGCAGGTCTCTGCTCCCAGGATATGGCTGGAGAGGTGCTGTCCCTGCCCTTCTCCCATGGGGCTTCCAGCTCAAAAAAGAAGGTGCCCTGCCAAGGGAAGGTGTGCTGGGATTTTCTGTAGGAGAGAGTCATTCCAGGCAGGTGGAAGGGGATGAAGTGGGAGCTTGCAGCTGAGCAGAACTGCTCAGGCCCTTCAGCTGCCTGTGCTTGTGTTAATTTTCTCAGTAAAATTCCTCACACTTCTCTTCCAGTGGACTATATTCATTCCGCATGGACATCTCCCTGTCTGTGACTCACCCAACCACTCTTTTCTTCCCTTATTTTTTTTTCTACTCCCATTTTGGAGCCCAGCACTTGGGACATACCCTCACACAAGAGTTACACCTGAGACAAGGACTTGGAGCATTTCTAAGCTCCAGCCCAAGGATCTTTAGAGCAACATAGGGAACTAGCCCCTCAGGGCTTTATCCCTCTTCACATAGCATTTATTTTTGAAGCCTTGCATTGCTAGCTATCATCATCTTGACAACTTTAATTCTATGTTTTGACTTTTCTTATCTTGCTTGGCTTTAGTTCACGTATTTTCTCACAGTGCAGCAGCAATTTTCTCAGCAAAACCAACCCACAGCCATGCTGCACCTCGTGTCAGAGACAGCTGAGCCCTGGGGCCATCCGTAAAGCTCCATGCCTGGAAGGACATCTGGACTGTGGTCCCCAGTCTGCTGGGATGATAACAGGTCCTGGTGCCTTGAGCAGACATTGCCTGGGAGAGCCAGGCGGTACTGGCATGCTCTAGCCTGAACTTTGAAGGAAAACACTCAAGTCCTGCCACATGAGGGAAGGCCACAAGGCTGCGTGACCCAGGCAGCCGGTCTGTGTTCCGAGGGCGTCCCAGCCTGTGCAAGGCTGCTATTGCCCTGCAAACAGGGGATGAGGCTGCAGCTGCACGCCGGGCTGCTGGGCGACGTGACAGCCTGGGCAGTGGTGTGGGCAGCTGCCTGCTTGAGGGACAGCACGTGCTGTGTGTCACACCTCTGCAGAGTCACCACTTTGCTCGGCTATCTCCAGACTCAGCCAGGTCTCAGCTGAGGATCTGCCACTTCATCCGCCTCCCGAAGGGAGTATGCACGTCCTCCTCCTGCTGCTCCTCTCTGGACTTGAAGAATGGGACATGGCCCTGCAGAATCTGTGCTCAGAGACAGCACTTCTACCAGTGCTTACAGTGGATTTTCACTAAAGCAAAAAATGTATGTTATGGGCTTGGAGCTACCTGTAATGTCATGTCTTGGTCAAGCCACTGTGGAAATTTTTATGTCCGTACTTATGTTGAATGAATTCAGAAACATGTCCAAAAACGTGGAGAGAAATATTATGGTAGACCTCTTGGCAAACCCATGAGGACATTCACATTGATGGCTTGTCTTGTCCTTTAATGGGTGGCTTCTGGGCTTACCAGCAGGGCTCAGCAGAAACGACAGCTGCTGCCCATGAAGGAATGGGATAATAAAGGAGAGACAATAAAGTGTCCAAAATGGACTCCCACCTTGAAAAGATGACCAGTTGATTGAGGTGGTTAGGCCAAGAAGTCAGGCTTCCATCATGAGATGGTACAAAATATATGTCTTCTTAACATTTCATGGCATTAGGAAATAATGCCTTCCTTTCAAAAGGGTTGCAATCTTCTAGCTCTCTCCTAGGAGAAAGCTCTACCTGAAATGGCACAGTGACATGAGGGACAATTGGTGCAAGGTACCAGAGCTCAAGGTCTGCTTTAAGAATTGGAGGTTCACAGGTTTCCACTCAACAAATAACAGAAGGATGAGGCCTGAGAGGGGTTAAAGGACTAGAGATCCAAGTAACCATGACACTGTATAATACCAACTTGTGTTTTGACAGACAATCCCCCTGAAGAGTGGGACTGGAGCCAAACAGTCTAGCTTGGCAGAGACAGACCCTAGCAATATATTTCATCCCTGCCAAGCAATGTTGATTTGCTTTGGTTCACATTCATTTGTAAGCACCCTGTCTGCACAAAGCCCCAGATGGCCGTGGGGACTCCAGCACAACAATATTTTGATACAAATGCTCTTACAAAAGCTATCAGAGCTTGAGCTGGTGTCCAGTGACAACAGTCCTCACTAGTTAGTTGTTAGACTGGCTTTAGAAAGAAGTATGCATAAAGGAAAGAAAATCCTTCAGTTCAATTTGTACATGAGAAGACACCCCATTGATCCAAAATTTGTTTGAGAAAAGATCCTCAACCACTTAGATTGCTCAAGAATTCCTCTTGGCAAAAACTGCCTCCAGTGTCCTTGAATCTTTTTTTCCCCCTGGTTCTACAGAATTCACAAGTGCAGCATGAGAAATGAAAGAAAATTCTCTGGGCTCACACTGACAGTTCAGTCTGGCTTGTCAGATGTACCAGCCTTCCCAGCAGTGCAACTCTACCTGTGCCCTTAGGTCCAGAAGCACATGGAAGAACAAGAGCTGCTAAAAGTAAAACATGGTTTCCCTTTACCCAATGAACTAGAAAATCTAAAAGGGAAACTTGTCCTTCTTTCTCTCCTGAAAGAAAGATAAGAAGTCATAACATGACTCGTCAGTTTGTAATTCCTTTTCAGTTCCTGTTCTCCTTCACACACAATAATAGTTGAACACTTTGGCCAACACAGCCTGACTTCTCATTAGAGAAAACAGCAGGCCACCTCCAGACATAAAAGCCTTGAGCTGCTTGCATTCCTTTGAAGAAGAGGAAGAGGATTTCTGCCAGTGTAGTTTTAACTCTGTTGGACTAAGGTCCTTCTTCCTCTTCTCCCCGCCAAACCCAAGATAAAAAAGACACAGGCGGAACCAGCCCCTCTGCTGACTTTCACAGAAAACCTCTGGCAATATGTGTATCTGCTTTCTGAACTGACAGAAGGTCTTACCTTGGTAGAAGTCATTGGCTGCAGGAGTTTAGTATCAGTTTCTTTGCTCCTGCACTGTGCATTCTCACCAATGCTTCTGCGTGGAGGTCTGCTTTAGGCAAGGCATCTGCTGCTCCTTCAGGTCTTCTTGGTTGATATTTTGTGCCAAATCAGTTATTTCTGTTGTGTGCAGTAGTTCAATCATGAAGAATTCAAGACAAAGGAAATAGGTTGCTCTTGCTGTCAGTCATGAACAGATGTCTATGATAAAGTCACACGCTTGTTAGCTACAGAGAATTTCAAGCATTTCAAAGCTAGAAACTGCAGCTTTCTTGGAGAAAAGAAGTGATCTCTCAGTGTTTCTCCAAAAAAGAAGGCACAGTTTACCTCTACCCTACCCAGCTGGTATAAGACTTGCCTTACTGTAAACATTCACATGCTGGATAATGAGTACCTCAAGGTGGGACAGTGACCACACTGACTGAGAGCCAGGGGCTGTTTAATGTTCTTTGAAGTGTCTCAGTTCAGGCAATTGTGTTGTTTAGAGAACAGCTCTCCAAATCTTACTCCATCCTTCACTTCAATAGTCATGAGTCATATCAAAGCTTTTCTAGTTGAGGAATATCTATTGGAGATGAAGAAACTTAATGAACTAGTACAGACCCCTAAAGGGCTCCCTGTTTCCTTGCAAGAAGCTGCATGGGCTTAGTGCATCATTGTCAGCACTGGCCTGTGAATGCTCCCTGACAACGTCCACACTGGTGAACAGGCTGTGCTTTCATTAAACGAAACTAGAATGAACAAAGAAGGTGGCTTTTCACACCATAGCA